TGTGATAGTCAGAGTGCAATCCATCTTAGTAAGAATCCAACTTTCCACCTAAGATCCAAACACATTGAAGTGAGGTATCATTGGATTCGAGATGCACTGGAGATGAAGAAGTTATAGCTTGGGAAAATCCATACTGATGAGAATGGTTCAGATATGATGACAAAGCCATTGCCTATGGAGAAACTACAAATATTTAGAACGAAAGCGAGCTTGTGGAGTCCCTCATATAGTCGGGAGGGGGGGATTTGTTGGGTTTTCCCTCCACTTTAGGGATCTACCCATTTAGTAGCCCACTAAAGCCCAAACCAATTAAACCCATTTAATGGTCCAATAACAAAGGCAAATATAGATACAATTGAGGGAGAAAAATGGGCAGCTGACTTTCCAAAATAGGCAGCTTCATTTTCTTCTGAAACAGAGACCGAACGAGAGAGAGAGAGAGAGACTACGCTATGTCAGTTTCTTCTTGCCAAAGATCGAGATTCATCCATGGTTTGATTAAGCTGAAATTTCAGTATGTTATTCTTGGCAAAGATAGCTACATTTTGACAGGAGCTAATCGTCCATATTCTTCTCCATTTCTCTGGGCTCTACACACTAGTTTAGTGAGATTTTCTCCTTATTGTGTGTATATCTATTTTAGTATGATGTTGTTGTTGATATCCAAGAATATATATGTGTTCTTGATGTATTGGTAGCCTCTAGATTGTGTTCTGGAGAGGGTTAATTGTGTATCTCATTATTTTGATAGTGGATGGCTTTTACTGGACTGGGTCCCGGGGTTTTTCCTTCACGTTGAACGGTTTCCCTAGTGAACAAATATTGGTGTTCTTATCTTTACATTTCTGTCAGTGTGTGTGAGTTGGAGCCGGTGTTATTTTACTGCCATTTTGATTCTGCATAATAGGGGATTGTGATATTGTATTTTGCTGCTTTGGTTGTGTTAATGGTTCAATCCCCAACACTTTTTAATGTCGCCTGAGCAGTGCCACTGCTGATATACATAGCTAGTTAATTTTATACTTGTGAATCAAAATAAGCTTCAAGAACATTGAACTTGTACTATTAAGCACGAATCTACACTATCTTGAGAATAAAAAGTCCAAAATAAAATTTCCCTTTCTACTGCTATTTAATGATGCTACTTATAATAAGTGTCTTAGGAGGTTATGTACAATCTTTCCAGTGCATAGTCTAAGTCTCGAACCTGTTTATTTATTTTTAACAGAAGATGTACTTCCTGTATATTAGAATTCTTTTGTGATTATTCTTCTTGAATACAGTGTTACAGAGAAGTGAAACCTGGAGTGTCTGGAGCTCTCGGTAAAACCATGGAAGGACCTAACGAATGGTATATCAATTGAATTTGACCAGTTCTCAAAAAAGGATAAAAGAAGAGAGAATTAATTTTTTGGTGAAAGATATTCCAAGATGCATATTTGACAATTAGATGCATCTCTTTCATGTATGCTTGATTGAATATTTCCTAGTGTGAATCCTTAAAACGTCATTTTATTACATGATTTTTCAGTTTCAAATATTATATTTGACACGCGAAATGGCGCCATGTATGATGTATGGTCCTTTTCATTATGCTCTGGTCTTGCCTTACAGGTCTGCTGACACTGGTCAATCAGGACGATGACACAACCGCCCTTCAGGTACGTCTATGCTCTATTCTCTTTACAGCTTCATTAACATGTTGCGGATTTAATTAGGTGTGTCTCATTGAGCTTCACCAAGAAAGTGTACGACTAATATTGTCTGAAAATGCTTGTTAAATTGAAAATACCATGCAATAAATCGAGACGGGGAGTGGCGACCCCTATACGCTTGAGACTCCTTCGCACCAATACTATACTCGACGATGGCTCCATATGGTATCAAAAGTCCAAGGGCCTTCGTTTCACTTATTCCTTGAATTCCTTTTATAAACGAAATATATGAAAAACCAAATATTTATTTAAATGATACACAAAATATCAATCCGTTACAGCAATACTTTATAGGCACACAACTCAACACCCTGGAATTATTTTAACATCTTAAACAAAAACATTCTATTTTGACATAGAATGTTTCATCTTCATCAAAGCAAGATATAAAAGCCAAATTAAAGAAGTTGAAACATGGCTTTCACAACAGCCCACACAAGAAAATTAGGAAACAAACCAAACAACATGACATCCATGCCTTATTTGACATAACATTGCAGAAGAAAAGGATTTAGCAGCAATTTTACACTTAATTAGCTGCTATTCTTAGCCTTTTCACAGAGCCTTGACGTCCTTCTGTTTCTTGAGCTTGTTTCTTGTCAAGGAATTGCATCCACCATAGAGCTGAGTTTTTTGGGAATCTTGTCAAACGGCCATTCTCAAAGTCTACAAGGAAAATGCCAAATCTAACTGTGTATCCCTCACACCATTCGAAATTGTCAAATAATGACCATGCGTAGTAGCCCTTCACACGCACATTTTTTCTGAAAAGGAAAGGAAATTTGCCAATTAATTTCATAATTTACAATTTGTCTAGAGTTGAATTAATATAATGACTGGCATGCAATTAAAATTAACGATGACTTACTGCACCATTGCCAATTTAAGGTTCCAAAGATGGTCGTTGTGATATTTAATCCTTATTTCATCAGAAAGACAACTTGCAACATTTTTGCCTTTATTGTTCTTCTCATCCACTCCTATACATAATTATAGGGGATATTGTTTCCAATAAATCACAATGTTGACATATTTGACAATAAAATATTTCTAACTACATAAATAGATAAGTTAAGAATAACATTATTATTTACCATTCTCTGTAATGTAAATGATAGGATCGTGATATGTTTCCTTTGCATAACTCATGAGATTGAAAATTCCCCATGGAACAATGTACAACCAATCAGAACCGCCCTAGCAGAAAAGATGATTGTCATTTGATGTTCTTATATTATATAAATATTATAAATTAATTAAATCATGTTAAGTACTTTAATGTATTAATGTATGGATTAATTCGGACAGAATAATGGATTGCAATAAATTTTTGAAGTTGTTTTGAGTCCAATAAGTATATTTTCCTGCATAATCTGTTGCAATAGTCTTAATTACTTTCTGTCAAATTTGTCTCAGTTAAAGGCATACCTTTGGACCAATTGGCATCCCATCGCGATCAGCTATAAAAGATTGAAAGGGTGAGTATTGTCATACAAGAGTCCAATAAAATGATAACGTTTACAAGTGTACTTACTTGAAAACTTAACTTGCTGATCTGTCACGTAACTTGGTGGTCCAGAAATGGGAAAATCAATAACATAATAAGCGGTGTAATAATTTATGCCTAAAAAGTCATATGATCCTTTCACGAGCAGCTCTTGATCATCTGTAAATGTAGGAAGACGTTCTTTTACATTTTTTCTCATGGCCGGTGGATATTCACCTGTTACCATTGGTTCTACAAACCTGAAAATGAAAAATATAGAACATGTTTTTACACTAATTTAAGCCTAGTAAATAAATGACTTCCACGAAAATGACAAATTGTCAAAATATATTGAACAATCAAGTGGACACAAAAGAAAAAAGGAGAGAGACTTGTGTTATACATCCTGATTAATTTTTGTTGAGAATCATGTGATGCAAACATAAAAGAAAGTAGTTTCCATGAATATTTAAAACCTTGCAACTTTATAAAATGTAGCACTTTCTTCTTGATCCTGACAGGTGCACAATTGATGGTAACAATCATGCTATATAAACATCAAGGTTGACGTAAAGTTTAAAATGATATCACGTGACATTCTATCATTGAACAATTTAAAGCACAGTCAATTTTTTGTCCAATAATCTACCAATTATGTCAAATTCTTTTGACACAGTGGTTTTATCCTAATGGTAATTGATATGAGACCTGTAGACCTCAGGGTCCGTGATTGTGTTTATATTGTGTACGGATTATTAGAAAAAATAGATAGGCAATAGTTTATATATATATATATTTTGTTTTATGGAGATTCTATACTAGATCTAAATCTTTCATTTATATTATTTCGCTCTGTGGGGGTGGTTTTAGCTTATAATCATTGGATATAAAAAATAGTATTTATGCTGTTAATTAGTTAGTAGACGAAATATAGAAATTAAGGACCTTACTACATGTACATCAAATTTTATATAATGGATTACATAATACCACATGTCAATATATCATTTGTCAATTTAAAACATAGTCAACTTTTTTATCCAATCTTTTCTCTTCACATCATTTTATGTAATCCTTTATGCACAATTTTTACGTATAGATAGTATAATCCAAAAACTCAAGCCTGTAAACTATTGCACCTACTTACCATCCCAACATAAATTGGAGCGCCCTCGAAGAAGCTTCTATATTTTCTTTCTTGTCACTGTAAGGCTCATACCAAGCTGCGACATTTGTCATTCCTATTTTTCCTCCTTGAGTTGCCTGCACTTACAAATCATGTGTCTATATATCTATGTAAATAAACTATTACAAAAACTCAAAATATAAATTTACCTGATATTTTTTCCTGTATATATCAACAGCATTTGCATGAGCAAGGATCAAATTGTGTGCCACAATATATGGTTCTGTTCCTGGGTTTCCGTCTTTGGTAGGAATTGGAGTCCCACTTCTTGATCTATGTATAGGGAAGTTTATCAGACTGATGACGCCCGGATCCTGATTTGCAGTTGCACCTCTATTAGGGGGGAAATTACCATACACATATCCTTGAACAGTAAAGGACCATGGCTCATTCAGTGTTATCCAACGTTTCACGCGATCACCGAAATTCCAAAAGCAGACCTCAGCAAATTCACAAAAATCTGGCCTACACAAATAACGGAGAAATCCGAAATTAGTTTTCTTAAACGTGTATCTTCCAACAAAACATGACACGTGCAGGTTTGAGTTACTTACAGAATTCGATCGCTTAAGAAGCCTTGATATTCTAGTTCCAAACATTCGGGAACATCCCAGTGGAATAGAGTTACGCAGGGCTCGATGCCTGCATAAGAGTAGCTCTTTACTCATCTGTTTATTTAAATCTCGAAGGTAAAATTACAGTGCGATTAATCTTAAAGATATGTTTTAGGAAATGACATTGAACGCCCATCTATATGCGCAGAGTCAAAAAATGAATTTTTATGAAGCTATTTGGCTCGAGTGGACGAAGCAATAATGGAAGTGAACTTGTGATATGGTGAAGTACTCCTAGACAGGAGAAGAGGAATAATTTGATAACGCCACAACAAGGAAAAAAAACCTAGGTTAGGCATTGGTGTAATGGCGGGATGCTTTATCTCAGGTTTTGGTTTCAATTTTTCAGTTGTTGTGGAACAAGAAGTTAATTTACACGTTTTAGAACTGATACATCTTAAATTATCTTTTCTAAAAGTTTTCAAAATATTAATTTGAGTAATTATATTCACACTTACTACACTTGAGATTCTTAATTTTTACTAGCACTCATGTTCCTATCGATTTTTCATTTTATTCTTATCCTCAAACTTTCTATTAGTTAAAATATTTTGCATTTGATAACAATTTTATGTCCAAAAATTTGTCGAAACGGCATAAAACAACTTATTTTATATATATATATATATATATATATATATATATATTTCTTTCATTTTAAAGTATGACAATAAAGTATTTTGATATGAATCATCATTAAAGAGGAGACGTACTAGTTAATAGAAGTTGAATATAAGACTTTGATGAAAAAGGTAAAAGAAATTACTACAATGAGCAAATATTGAGAAGCTTAATTGCAATTAATATGTGGTGTAACAAATAAAAATTGTCTTATCAATATAACCACTCTATTAATTTCTAAGTTTTAGTTCTTAAGCTATCGAACATGTTATTGAATTTTTAGATAATGTGGTCTAACATGGTGCAATTTTTACGAGGTGCTTCAATTTTATATGGTAGTTACAGAAGTTATAAATTCAAGTTTCCCTACCATCTTTTCTAAAGCATGTCAAGATCTTGAATTTTCAGTTGTGGATTAAGTGAATAAAAATGAACATTAATGGCGAAAGAAACTATAAACACAATAATTAAATGTATAATTGACTCTAACCTGCTGCCAAGAGTGTGTCTATAAGATCATTATAGTACTTAATTCCTTCTTTGCATATGCCTTTACATATTCTACCTCCTAAAAATACCAATATAAAACACAAAAAAATAAATAAAAACATTAGCGAGAACTTCATTGGATATTACAAACTAAATGATACACAAATTCTAAATCGTTCACAGTGCAACAATAAAATGTATTATCTTCTAGATTTATCTGGCAAGATTCTAGTCCATGCAATTGAAAGTCTGTAAGAATCCAAACCCACTTTTTTCATCAAATCCACATCATCCTGCAATATAAAAGAGGAGTAATTCGTGTACCTCATTGTTTCATTTAAGAAAAAAAAATTATTTAGTTGTCGTTGAATTAAAATTAACTAGATCAAGACACATTGATATACACTTGCCAGTTGTAGAGTTTTTATTTGCTTCTTCTAGATATTTAAAAAACATCCACTTCTATTATCAACTTTAAATCACATATTGCATCTATTGCTATCAAAATATACTAAAAATCTAAGTTATCAAGGTCTCAATTCACCTCGTCAACATTTTAATTAAAGTGCACCACAGTCATTATGCATTAATGAATGACCACATTTAAGTTGTTTCTGTGAGAAACCAATTTCAATTTGGCCAAAGAAAATCGTGTTGCTCGAGAAACTTCTATACTTAAAGTTGTTGAAGTATACCTTGAACAAATTATACCGATCAATAGCAGTACAACCATTGCTTCCATCGTCAATTCCAGCTGCCAATCCAAGAAACATGTTCAGCAATGATTAGCTAAAACATACAGAAATATGTACACACACTGAGGAGGAGTCAAGAGAGAGAACAGACCAGGGTCCGACATTGTAAAAACATCCCAATTACTCCTGCCTTTACCCTGTACGTTCCACGCACCTTCAACCTGCATATATGAGTTCATCATAATTCAAGAATTTAAAGTTGCTTTAAATAACGAAATTAAACAGATCTTTGCATGCAAACAACATGACACACACCTGATAAGCCGATGTTGCAGCTCCAAATACAAAATCCTTAGGAAAATCAGAGCGCTTGACGGTAGGGACTATAATACCGCCGCTATCAGCACGAAACATAGAATGGTTGCCAGTAATCATCAGGATGTGGTTGTTGTTCGACATTGCTAGTCTTACAAATGAAAACTACTGGCACTTGGGTGGAGTGTAAATTCGACTATTTATAGGGAAATTCTAAGCACTATCCATGCAAGACTTGAAAACGTCACAAGGGAGCACGCTTGCCATAATTCCAAAAGTGGAAATATTTCAATGATAAAAGAGCATCCAGTGATACAACTTCCATAAGCATCAAACATAACCGAATTATGTTGGATTGGGTTGCAATCCATTTCACAATTGTTCAAGGTCTTGAAACATTGTTTTCCTTTTTAAGATAATTGCAATCCAATATTAACCTCCTAAATCTTGTACCCAAACATATTTTCACAACTTTTGCTATTTATTTAATTTATACTTTAAGTTTTTGGTGGCAGGGATTGACGGATATTATCTAAGCAAGAGTTGATCACAAGGGTTATTTATTTTATATATTTTAATTTTCAGAAAAAAAAATGATAGTAAAAAAAAAAAGAATACTCACAGGTACGTTATAATTTTGTGTCAAATTCAATTAAATAAAACTCTATGAAAATCAGTGTAAAAATTATTTTTTCTATAGCTTTTGACAGCTTGATATGATTTGTCCTGAACCACCCTAACTGATTCAAACTTGGCATGTATCGATGATAAATGCTAGCTAAGTGCTGGATCCACCATCAAGGATGACACTCGTCAACTATAATTATATGATAGACAAAAGAAAATTGTTTGAAGCAAAATTATAATTTGAGTTCAATATAATATTTGCACGCTCAATCCAAATGAGAGCAACAAATATGTCATATGACCGTGGCTTTGATTTGATAGGCTCTTCATGGTTGAAAAAAAAAAAAAAAAAAATTCTATCTGATAAGAAAATTTTTAATGTATGAGCTAGTATACTCAGTGAGTGGGGATTTTTGAAAATAATTTTACTTTCTAGTTTATGAGTGGGGATTTTTTAAAATAATTATACTTTCTAGTTTAGACGCATTTACGAAAAAGTAATATTTTTATCAATTAACAGTTCAACATTATAAAATATCATTACAGTAAATGCCGATATATATCTTAGGGTTGTTGAACAAAATTTCGTTTATTTGCATCAAGTTTTGAGAGGCTCAATCATGACTTTTTGGTAATTCAAATTGAAAGGTAATATGAAATCGGTCTATTTCCATCATCATATCCATAGTTAGCTCATTCATCATAGCTTGTAGTTCCAACTCCATTAGATGCATTCGGTTTCCAAGTTAATTTGATATAAAAATATGTAATATTCTCAAACATAATTACACTACAACAAAATTAGCTTTTTACTGCATTCGTTTAAGGCATGCATATAAGGCATGTCGAAATAGATTATCTATGGCATGTCTTGAATTTGTGTCATAATAATTCGATTACTTAAAGTATTTACGACATATATTAATGACATGTCGTAAAAAGTTACAATTCAAAGCATAAATTGATGGCACGTTGTAAAAAGTTACAATTTGCACAACAATTCTTGGCAAGATGTAAAAAGTTATCAAGATTAAATAAGCACGTCTTCTTTGTTTTTCACACTCAACGCATTTTTCCTATTTTTTTTCTTTTGTTTTCCTTTTCCTTTTTTATTTTTTATCCATGTGGTTATGCATATTTCGAATAATAATATATTTTCTGAAAGATCCTAGCTTTCGTACTAGGTGTGTCTCTGAGGCCCACATGTTCTTCTATTTTCCTTTTCTTTCTTTTTCTTGTTCTTTTTTCATTTTTTCATTTCTATTTTTCTTTTCTTTTCTTTTTTCTTTTCATTTCTTTCTTTTCTTCCCCAGAACCAGCGGCGGATCCAGCACCCGGCGAGCCCCCGCGGCCGCCCGTGCTGGATCGCCGGAGCTCAATTTTTTTGTTGTCCAAGTATTTATTTGTTTAGATATATTTCTGTGATTTCCCTTAATTCACACCAACTCCTTCTTGTTCAACTGGTTCGAGCGCCACAATGGTGAAAAGGGCGTCCAGGGTTCGATTCTCTATTGTTGCATTCTCTTCTGTAATGATTTTAGTATAATATTTTTCACCATTTTGGAGCAAATAGGCATTAAAATTGGTGCAAGGGGAAGATTCGAACTTGTGATCTCCATTAGAATAATGGACAATTTGACCACCATGGTAGTTAATGGATGTTGACAATGCAGGCAACAAAAGTCTATATATTCTTTTATCCCAATGATATACACCCTCCTTTTTAGAAAAATAAAATTCAACCATACAGTGAGATTATTAAAATAATCACTTTTTTTCTATTAAACTGAAATTATTAGTGGATCGAATCAAGAAAGTAAATAATTGGACAAATTTTCAAATTTCAAATTGTTACTCAATAAACATTATTACAATGGTAGATAACGTACACTCACACTTATAATTCAAACTACGATATAAGCCCCAATTTGACCCCCTTTAAAACTTATCAATTTAAATTAAAAAAATTTCTTTTCTATTTTCAACCACACAATTTTCAATAAAATAATATTACACGTAAATCGAAAACTTTTCATTCTTTTACAACTATCAATTTTTAATTTTTTTCAGAAAAACATTATTTCCCCATTATAAATCCAAATAATGGGGGCCAAACGGGGGTTAAGTAATTTCAACTCACGGCATTGGTTATTATTGCGACCGTCGACAGTCAACGGCCGCCCGTGCTCAATTAAAATCCTGGATTCGCCACTGCCCAGAACCCGTTTTCTTCCTTCGTACTGTTACTCTGTTCAACTGTTATAGATATAATTGATCATTTTTAGGATTTTTTTTTATTATTATTACTTCTTCCTCTCAATCAATTAATTTAAAAAAAATAATCTAATAAATTTCCTAATAAATTTTTTGACGTCATTTGAAAAAAAAAATTAATTGATCGAGAAGAAAATGTAACAATAATAAAAAAAATCCTAAAAATGATTGATTTTTTTTTATATATAAATTTTTTTCAGATATAAAAATAATTAAGATTTAAAAGTAGTATAACAATTTATAATCCCTATGAAGTAATAAAAATTTTATTAAGAATTTTTACTTCAAACAAAAATAAATTTTGACATCATACCACATAAAATTTTC